CAAATTCTTCTCAATTATTTTAAGACCTTGAGTGTTGGTCCGGCCGGGGCTCGAACCCTCGACCTCCCGCACAAAAGTCCAGCGCTCTATCCATTGAGCTAACCGGGAGACAATCATTGACATATTAATAAGCTGCGGCGAAGAAAACCCTGAAAGCACTTTCTTAATCAGCGGGAGAAAGGTTTTTCTCGCTATCGACACGAAACAGAAGAATATGCGCAAAATAGGTTCGTATCGAATAGAAAGGTAATCGTAAAGCAATCGGGTCAATCCTCTATGCCTGCCTCCATACTTAGTCTTAGCGCGGTAAAATTCACATTGGCGACTTTGTGCTACGATAAGTTTCGAGAGAAGAACGCTATGAGGCCTTGCTTGATAATACATTATTATTTACCCTAAACGGTTTTTCATCGCCAGATAGTCTTTGGCTTGGTTTATCTACTTAACATTAGAATCACTTTCACTCCAAATGCGAAGGGGAAATCTACCTTGATGTTGCTCTAGACCCAATTTTCACCTTTTTCTTGAGTTCACAAGGAATTTCGGCTTTTCGCTCTTGAGAAAGACCTGAGAACGAGGTTGGGAGTCAGGCCCATTTCCCGAGCGGAAGTAGGAAACTCAACTTACTTTTGCTTACACTTTTGCTTCTCGAGGGGAAAATTTCGATCCAACGGTAAGATTTATCACCTCACTAAAAAAGGCAACTAATTGCAGCAAAAACAGTCGAGAAGCAGACAACAAAAGCTCATTTTTATGGTATTTCTTTTTCAAGCCATTAATTACAGAAAGGGGATTCCCCTGGCTCTCCAGTTTAAACACAGTTCCAGTCTTCCTCGATTTACCGTTGGACATGTCAAAGAAGATGGCCGCAGATCGGAGGGAAGATCTAACCGACTCTTTGTCCTCCCCTTCGTCTTCTCCTTCAAGTGCGTCTTCATCAGAAACGAATACCACTGAGCCTACAAGTAGTTCGGAAGGTAATAAGTAATTTACGAGAAAAAGTCAAAAACGAAAATGAACATAGAGATCATAACCTTGAAGTTCTTCAAGTTTGTTTTGATTTTGTTTTTCCTCAGTCGATTCAAGAACGTTTGTAGACGAAGGAATATACGGCTGGATCTTTCATTTAATTGAGGAGGAGAAAATCGCTCGAATTGTTGATCCCTCCGACTGGACTTACGAACTCGATTGGCAAGATGTAGTTTGGAAATATTGGCATGAATTTCGCGAAGCTAAAAGAGTTGCAAAAAACCCCCTTAAAAAGGACGAGTTCAACATCAGAACTGCAAGCAATGGTTTAAGAGCTGCATTGTTAAACTGTTACAAAGGTAAAGATGGTGCCAAAGAATATCCAGAAAATAAAGTTATGGACAAGGATAACAGGACAATCAAACGGCGCTTTAAATTGCCTTCGAAAGTGGTTGATAAACTTAAAGGGACAGCTTTCGCTAGTCACGTTGTATCGAAATTTGTAAGTGCCATTTTTTTTTTATTGATTCACCTATCTATTTCCTGATCAATTAATAAACGCTTCTGTTTCTCGTGATCAAAAGGGAAGAGGGCGTTCAGTCTGATGTTCTTTTTACCACGTCAGGCTCCATGTTTGACACACCTGGACAAAGAAAGACATTCGGTAATTTAGAATGTAGACCATTATGAGTCATTCACAGTACATTTAATTGCGCAGAAATCACTTCTTTATATCAGTTTCATAATTTGATTATCACCCATCCAAATGGAATTGAAGGAATTTCTGAACTTCGAATTTCCTCTTGCCTTTTAAATTTTCTAAGGCGGCGTTATTTATTAATTTTTTTGTTTGTGTTTACGTTTTACAATAAGCCTAGATTGTGTTAGTTATTCCTTTTGTTTCATTTTGTTTTAAATTTTAGAATGAAATTTCTAGGCCTGCCTTCAGTAAGAAGGGTTTAGAGTCCATTCCAGATGAATGTAGTGGAGAGCAGGCTGACAAAGGTGCTAACAAAGGTACTTTTCATTCTCCGTATAATATAATCATAAGTAAAAAAAAAACCATTATATTTATATAATGTATGTTCAATCTAGCCATAGCCGTGTATTTAAGTAGTTATATAGCATTGTTAGTGAATTGTCAATCCAATTTTGACATATTACTTTTGCAGTTTACCATTGCAGTGAACTTTTGTGTTAGGAGATACCCTTGGGAATTGTTAAAAGAAACCGTTGGTAGAACTGTCGGCCTGCAAGAAATTATTCCCATAAGCGAAAAGAAAAATGGTGTGGATGTCAGCTCATGGGAGAGTGCTATGATAGACTCCTTTTAATGTCTGACAAACAGACATCATGCATTGCAGCAGACAAATTAATAAGATTTAGTGACAAAGCTGGTACCCATTGTTCTGTTGTTAAGTCAAATGTCATTTAAATTTTTGTTGATTTGCAAATTCAACAAAAAAATTTATCACCTAGAGTCAATTATTATCCATCGGGTGTGCACTTGCAGTAGGATGCAAACAAAAGAAAAATCCAATCTTCAAAGTCACCAAGTGTCCATGTCTGCTTACAAGAGAGTATTACTGCTCAAGGGAAGGTGTGGATGCAGAGTTTGATTGGGAGGTAAAAAAAAAAGTGTTTGTAAGTGGAACTGTCTGCTTACAAGGGTGCATGACAGGACGCAAAATGTGTGCACTGTAAGTACCTTCCGTTGTCCCATACAAAGCCTTAGAAAGCTTTTCTAAGGCTTTGTATGGGACAACGGAAGGTACTTACAGAGCACGCATTTTCCATCCTCTCATGATGGTTAGAGAAGCATTGACTGTATCACACAATCACAGTGTTATCTATTTAATTTTACAATGTTGAATAATTACATTTTAAAAACAGGAACTGCTGCTCACCCAGCAAAGCCACCTCCCATCTCTTCTGCAGACTTCAGTTCTCTCATGATTGATCCTGAGGTAATTTTCTTACTGCTCTACCATAAAAACAATCATTTACATAAATGTATAATTACAATTCAAATAAACCTTTTTTCAACTTTTTTTAGGAATAAAAATTTGTATACTTAGGTAAAGTCTGTTTATTAGCCAAGTGGCCCATCAGGCTGGTGCTTAACTCTGGTTTTCATTGCATGAACTGACCAGGTGTATTTCTACTTCCTCCCCCTGGATGGGATGCTAGTCCATCACATTTTTACCCCCAGCATTAAATTCGCTAGCACCCATTTAAACACCTGGGTGACGAGAGGCACTGTTTGAGTAAAGTGTCTTGCCTAAGAACACAACACAGTGTCTACAGCCAGGGCTGCAACCCAGACCATTCGATCTGGAGTCAAGCACACCAACCATGAGGCCACCGTGCCTCACCGGAATAAAACTGCATGGAACAAATGAATGCAAACTCAGTCACTTAATGTACTATTTTAGTATTTAGAATTCCGTATCATGAGAAAACAAGATATAGAATCAGGATCTACACTTTAGTCTCCAGGCTCCAAATGAAAATCTCTTACTTCAAAGCAAATTGTTCCTTGTTATAAGTAATGAAATTTTTACCAAGAGCTAGCTATCAGTGAGCTCAAATTCTGTGAAAACAAACCAAATTTCATGTTCACTTGTTTTTTCACTTGTTGTTTGTTTTTCTCGTTGATTTACTTGTTTTGACTCTCACTACATATTCAAGATGTAACTTCTTTAACTTTAATTGTTTGTTTTTATTAAAATGTACTTTCTCTTCTAGAAATCTAAACAGCTTATTTAGGTTAAAGCCATCCATGGTAGACAATTCCCATACAATTTTGGAACAGTAAATATTATAACTCATCTGTCACTGCAGCTAGTTAATTTGTTGAAAAACTGCCCAGTTCTAACCACTACCCCCCTCCCTCCCCCACTAGAATATTTATTGTAACCTGTGAACTCCCCATTAATCTTGAGAACAAGTATTTTTTTCTTAACTAAACAATGGTTTTAGTGAATAACACAGACAAATTCTATTAACGAATTATTTCCTCATTTATTTGGAAATTTACTGCATGCACATAATCAAATGTTCAAATGGCCTTAATGAATTTTAATACGAGTTAGGCAAAGTTTTTCACCTAATTTCAGGAATCAAATAGCTTGATCAACTTCATGACCCCCCCTGCTAGTAATCAGCTCGGGACAGATGATCTCATTCCAATGGATAGTGACAATGACTTGTCATCTGATTGGCCATCTGACTTGTCATCTGACTTGCCATCTGACTGGCCAAGCACAAGCCAATATTATGCAAATTCCTCTGGTTATGAAAGTAAGTCAATTATGGCAGAGATTTTAAAGAGTTATATACCTGAGAATTTGATTGTTTCTGTTAATATTTGGTGGCATTCATATAAATGAAATCTACAGCCACCACATCACTTTTTAAATTTCAGAATTTTTTTTTGGATATATTATTGATCAATTATATGACTTTTTTTTTTATCCTTTCACTTCCAAGATCTCTTTACCAATTCTCCTTATTGTTTGCCATACAACTGTTATGATTTGTTAATCTCCTGATTGATATTTTTATTCTCATCACTTGTCTGCTTGACTTTGTGTTAAAATTGTGAGGAGAAATTCTGTCTTGGCCACTCATGAGAGTTAATTCTTCCTGTGTTAAAATTCGATTGTGACTTTTAGCCCTTTCACCCTTACAAGTAATGTCGTTATCAGTGGTAGTATTTGCTTTATCCTTTTCCTTTCTCGCTTTTTTTCGTAACTGGTCACCAACTTAAATTGGGTGGAAGACCCGATAGGCTCAATTAGCAGCCACCATTTGAGAACCGGAGCCCGCACTCCTCCCCAAACCCATGGAACGGACTAGAGAGAGCGGTGGAAATTGAGCCAAGGAAGACCATAGAATAAATAATAGTTATCAATAGAGACAATTTAGTTATTTATTAGAGTACTGATGCTGAGGCAGAAATTTGACTCAATGAAGAAGTAATCAACATGTTTTGTATCACCTGTAGCTGGTATAGAGGAGAATCTAGTGAAGGAAATGGACCCCTGTGAAGGTCCCTATCAGGTAATATACATTTTGTAAATGTTTGCCTTCTACTGAGCACTTAGGTATTCTACAAGTTTCTAACTTTCTAAATTTTGTAACTTTGCTGGGAAGCACACCCCTCCCAATCTTTCCTTATTTTCCATCTCCACTCAAGGGTACAGCTGTCTTTTCTCTTTTCTTTTTTAATTTTTATTTATATCTTTCTTTTTATTTTACTTTTCCCTTTCCTTTCTTTTTCTTTTTCTTTTTCTTTTCCAATCACTTTCATTTCTCTTTTTTTCTTTTCACTTTCCTTTTTCTTTTCCTTTCTGTTTTCCCTTTCCTTTCCTTTCCTTTCTTTTCTTTTTGTTCCTTTCTTATCTTTTCTTTCCCTTTTTTTCCTTTTCTCCTTTCTTTTCTTTTCTTCTCTTTCTTTCCTTTACTTGTCTCTTTCCTGTTTTCCATTATTTCCCCTTCTCTTAACTCTTCTTTTCTTCCTTTTCATTTTCCTTTTTCCCCTTCTTTCCTTTCCTTTCTTTTCTTTTCTTTTCGTTTCCCTGTTATTTTTTCTTGCCTTTTCTTTTTCCCTTTCACCTTTCTTTTCTTTTCTTTTCTTTCCTTTCCTTTTCCTTGTGCCTTTCCTCTTCTTTCTATTATTTCTCCCTTCTTTTTTCCTTTCTTCGCTTGTCTTTTTTGTTTTAGATTTATGTTTACTTTTTCATAGGGAGGAAATATGTCATTTATTTTCCTGGAGCAGCCCTTGTCTACCCATTTTCCCGGAGTTAGCAGCAGTGGCAGATGCAAAGTGGTGTTCTCGTCGCCCAAGCACAGAATGATGTCTCCTCGTGAAGTTCATGCAACGGTGAAAAACTGTCTTACATTGAAAGTCCGTGTCCCACGTTGCCCAAGTGAGTTCTACAGTGATCCAGTGGTACAATTGTAGATCACAGCCGCAGAAACCGACTTGTCTATGTTTATACCCTAAGCCTTGTAGTGGCTACAATACCCAAGTCAATATTAATATGGTGTTCTCTCCTACTTGTTTGAGATGCTCAGTACACAAAATCCTCACATATTGCAAGCAACAAAAAACTCGTGCTCCTTTAATATCACATCATAGTGACGGTGAACATAAATTTTGTTCACGGGGAAGTGACTGAATCCCTAACCATTTAGACTAAATAGTGCAAAAGAATCGCGTCGTCGATCGATCACTTGAAAGCTGTCTCGTTGATTCAGAATTTCGTAAGCTGCCACATCAGGTCCATAAGCGATTAAGAGCACTCTCCATGAAGGTAAGTTTCCTTTTCTTTGAATCAGGACTTGAAGGAGAACAGCTGGCGCGTGGAAAACTGACAGTTAAAGTCGTCGTTAGGACACAAGAGGGCTCCTACATTGGTGAAACTAGGTACACCTACAACTCTAACCTGCTAAGTCAGTTTGAACAGTGCGTCAAAGCCATGGATGACGAAGATATGGAGCTTGACTGTGCTGGTTCTCCCGTTGAAAACCATGTTACCATGAGCCTCCGGGGTATGTCTTAGCCAGAATAATTTGTAATTCTTCCTTCTAGCTGATCGCTTAACATTTCGCTGTGTTAAGAAATAGCCTGCGTAATGACGCGCTGGCCTCGCTGCGCTTGGTCCCATCGTCATGACCGAATGCCATATACTTTCCCCTCCGGTTCAAGCTAAGTTAGTCAATACCCAAGTTATCGTCTCTTTAACGATTCCTTCTCTTCCGGCTCTTTTCCGGCTCTGCCTGGACTATGTATATTACAGTTCTTAAAGGTGCAATTGATATCTGTAATGAGCTCATTTTCTTCTCCGTGAACCGGAGGGGAAAGTATATGGCATTCGGTCATGAAATTCGTAGCTTTTTGGGAGTTTTTCAAGCTATTACTATTATTATTATTATTATTATTATTATTATTATTATTATTATTATTATTTCATTTCCAGGACCAGGGTTTGCCACTGATCACTTGTTCAACTTTGCTACCCTGAGAGTGCTAGTCTTCGTTGCAGTGAAGGAGAAAGCTTACAATGTCTTGCTGGCAATCTTGAAGTGCCCGGTTATTTCGCAAGTAATTCAGAGCTATGCTCACAGATTACTACCATTCTTGGAACAAGTGCAGAAAGGCGAGAGAAGAACAGATCGAAGCGCGTCGATCCTTGAAATGAGCAAAAAGTAAGTGTGAATGTACATGCAAACTAAGGTTTAGCTGCTTCCAGGCTTTCAGCATGGGGGCACAAGGGAAGGAATGGGGCGATTGATAGAATAAATGGATCAATGTCAGCGGTGTCTGAGTAACTGCGCACCCACCCTTCCCCTAACCCAATAGTCAACTGATGACAAGTAAGAGTTAATGTTAGGTTAGGGGAGGGGTGGGTGCACAGTTGCATGGATGATGTCACCGTTCACAAATAAACTGTAAGGGACGCTCGGGGTGAGGGGGACTGAGGAGAGCAACAAAACCTCCGATTTTAACTCGAGCACTCTTTCACCATTAACCTACCCAACCTGAATCGATCTTCAGGGCACTCTCCTTTAAGCGAACTGAAGGTTTTGTGATTAGCTGGTAACGCCCTCTGAGTCATATCGAGCCTAGCTCTCTCACTCTTTAGTGACAAACCTGTACTGAGCACTCATTTGATCAAGAAATAAAACTTTCCAAGTTGATTCTGCAACGATTAATCCACGGAGCCTTGTCTCTCATGTGCTGATTATTTTATTTGAATAGTTTTTTTCTTTTTTTTTTTTCCATCCTAGGCTTTTACTGGAATGCACTGGCAGCCATGAGTCTCTAAAGCAACGTAAGTTTTTACCAAATGGTTCATTCAAGATAGGCTTGCCTCCGTTATCAGGCAAGATAAAACAAAGATATGTTCTTATGTGTATTATTATCCAACTCTTCTTCGTAGAGTACAAATAACGCGCGAGACGAGTACAAATATTAAGCGAAATTCGCCTGCACTGAAATTAACAATTTGGTGTGATGGATAATATATCTCTTAGTAGACGCTTTGTTGTGTAGCAGTATCGCTGAGTACTTTTACTCTTTGTTTGTATTTTGACTCGCCCTACGGGCTCGTCAAACTAAGGCACAACTCGTGAAAATATTCAGCGATACTACATAATACAAAACGTCTAATAAGATATATGTATTCTCATTTGCATAATCACCGCATATTACTGGGCCTTAAACCCTGAGAGTGATTGGCATCCAATTTCTCCCAACAGTATCGCCCCTGAATCAAGCACTTAGGTCATGAGAATAACGGAAATGATCGCAAGGTTAAGGAGCTCTAGATTATTTAGTAAATTCTCCTTGTAAGTACAATAAGAAATGTATAGAGAACAGTATGGAGAGCTTAAAAACTGATGTTGGGGTGTGAAAGGATAATTCTAGTCGTAAATACTTTTGTTCTTGGGCCATCGTAATTTGATCAAAAGTAAGACACAAACAGCAGTGATAAACATATTGAACTTGCACATTTTGATTATGACTTAACGTTTCGTATGTACTCAACACACATTTTCAAAAGTAACCGTTGAAATTTAAAACAGCCATGTATATATCGCCTTAGTTATATATATATATATATATATATATACATAGAAGCAAACTGTGGAAACTCAAGGAGAAGGGGGAAGACTATTCGATTTCATGAAAAATTATTGCTAGGGCTAGAGCATATTCCAATGCCCCAAAACGTTGCAATTTATGCCTCACTGAGAAATTTTTTATCTTGTCTTATCCACATGAAGCCTCTTTAAACAAGCGATGGGAAATAATATCCAATTGTAGACATCGGCGAAAATATATTCTCAAGTATTCTTAACGCTATTATCGGCGCGCGCATGGTTTTCAAGATTTGAATTTTTAAACAATGTCATGTGATCACGTTGCTG